CTGTGTTCAGAAGGTATGAAGGATTCACAGTTGCAGTTTCATTCACCATCTTGTTAAGCAGTAAGAACTGGCTTCACGTCTAATCTTCATTAAGCCCCTGGGCAGCGGCATTGGGTAACCAGCATGGTACAGACAATGCCTCTCTTTGCTTCCATCCCTGGGTTCAGTGTTAATATTTTCACTATGTGTGCCCGTGAATGATGTCGGGATGTCCTGTGTGATTCTCAAGTAAGCAGGACAGGTCTCAGCTCTGCCAATGACTCATAGTTGAGAGACCACAGGACGGCAGGCTTTGTATAGATTTTTTTACCTTCTGGACAGTAGGACATCTTTCTAATAATAGGTCTCAGTGGTTTGAGTAAGAGGCACTGAGGAAGAACCAATTAATTAAAGCTCCTTGGGAAGCACATAAACATTGTTATCCTCGTTTATAAATGGTAAAACAATGGAGAAGATGAGCTCACTTGCCTGTTCCAGGTCTGTGTTCAGCTGGCCGAAGCATATTGCTTCCCCAGGCAGAGCCAGGAGTTTTTCTTGTTCTGGCTGGACATACCTTCTGAAAGCAGCTTTGTCACTTAACCTCCAGTTTCCTGTTTTAGAAACCAGCGAAGTCATAAAGTGCTTTGCAACTATTGCTTGTCTCTTTGCCAACATGTGGATAAGGGATGTTGGGGAGGTAATCCCTTCTGTGGTGGCTGTTGAGATGGCTAAGCTGTGTTTGTCCACGCCAGCATCCAAAAGAGCGAGGACATTCTGCCCTTTTTTTAACTCCAGCTCTCCAGCAATGACAAGAGGCACTGGAAAAATAATAATAGTAATAATAGAATAAAATCAATTTCAAAATGTTATATATTGTTAGGGGAATTTTGATTGCTGCCTCTGCTGAAGGTGATCGTGCTGTACACAGGGTGGTCTTCAGGGCTCCCATTACCCAAATCACTCTACGTGTCCTCTGTACCAGTAGTGCAGTCTCCAGCTGTTGCCTGATCCCGTGTTTGTTGCCTGACCCCATTGCTCTTTGCTCAGAAATATTCAAAATGGCAAAAAGTAAAACAAGGCGAAAAATACTGCAACCATCAGGTAACTGGGGAGAGAAAAGTTATCAGTACCCACACCTCTGTGCTCCTCCTGAAGCCCTATGTGCTCTAGGAAAGCCAGCGATGTCTGTTCATGGGTGCTAGGATTGTAGTGGAGTTCCCCAGAAGGAAGAGATTACCTGATTCAGTGCCTAGAAATGTAGCAAAAATGGATCTGGCTGTCTGCCCGTAGGGAGCCCCTTTGGCTTTTATATGCATGTGCACACAAAGACAAACAGCTTCCACTGCAAAACTCGTTCCTGCATCTCTGCCTCTGCCCTTCTTTGCTGTTCCCCCACTTCCCTCCATTCCCTGCGAGTTCACGTTCAGCTTTTTTCTTTCCTCTAGAGCAGTTACCGAAAGAATAAGTGTGTCTTTTTCTCCTTCCTAAACTAGGCCACTGAGGAGAAAGAAGAAATGGAGGAACTGCAGGCCTATAACAGACGCCTCCTCCACAACATTTTGCCGAAGGACGTGGCAGCCCATTTCCTAGCTCAGGAGCGGCGAAATGATGAACTGTACTACCAGTCCTGCGAGTGTGTGGCTGTCATGTTCGCCTCCATAAGCAACTTCTCAGAGTTTTATGTGGAACTGGAGGCCAACAATGAGGGGGTGGAGTGTCTGAGACTGCTCAACGAGATCATTGCCGACTTTGATGAAGTAAGTCACTGAAAATGCGTGTGGATAGAGCAAACAGATTGAGTTTATTTGAGTTTATTTGGGTTTTGCTGAACTTATGAAGGAAGGTAGCTTACTGAATCCTTGTGCCATGTTTCATTTCTCCCCATTCTAGAAGTCTTATTTTTTTTATTTCACTCCCTTTTCCCTCCTCTGCCCCCTTTCCTTCTGTACTTTGAGTAATGGAGACTGTCTAGAGTTTTGTAGTGCTTGTACCAAGGGAGGACACTTGGCAAGGACACTAACAGCATGGATGTGTCTGACTATTCAGTTTCTCTGCACTTCTCATGTGTAACAGATCATAAGTGAAGACCAATTTCGGCAGCTGGAGAAGATCAAAACCATTGGCAGTACATACATGGCTGCATCAGGCCTCAATGACTCCACTTACGACAAGGAAGGGAAGACACATATCAAAGCTCTGGCTGACTTTGCCATGAGGTTAATGGACCAAATGAAATACATTAATGAACATTCATTCAACAACTTCCAGATGAAAATAGGTAATGTCACTGCGTTCACGGGATTGAATACCAGTAGTGGTCATTCTGAGCTGGGGATCTCACAGAGAGAGAAAAACATAGAGGTTACCTTAGCTGTGTAATTATGTTAATTGTTCTGTACCCAGTGACAGAAAAATAACAGTCTGCCTGCTTGGGCCTCTGTGAAATGTCAGAGCAGCGCTGTTAAGGCAGCAGTGTTATTACCAAAGCTCCCTGGAGGACCAGGAGCAGTTGGGCAACTGACTTTGGTGCAGAGAAGCTCTTATCATGGCCTGGTCACACACAGTGGTTCTGCTTGGGCCCACTTCACCTGTGATGTGCTCTGCTGCCCACATCCTCAGTGGTCCCAGGCTCTGCTGTTCAACAGCTGGTGTTGGGCATGAGGCTGTCTGTCAAATCAGGAAATAAAAAGAGACGGGAAAGTAGAAGGAGGTGAAAAGGTGAGGATGTCGAGTGTGGGGTTTGCACTTGAAGGCTGTTGGGATGCTGCAGTGCCCATCTCGCATCCACCTGGCATCGCAGCCTGTGCTGATGCCGAAGTGAGCAGTTAGCTTGGCAACAGGGTGGCAAATAACACCTATCCTGCTATCTGGTACTGGAAAATAGCTGCGGATTGAGCAGCTGCAGCAAGTGCTGCCAGTCAGACAGTCATAACAGATCAAAGAAGCCAACTAGTCTTTAAAGTTTCTTTCCCCGCAGTTGGCAACAACTTCATGTGTCAGGGTAAAGCACAGCTAGAACTGATGAACCTCAGGACTTTTTATTGTCTGACAAGTAACTTGCCTGAAGCTTCATGTGGTTCACCTGTGATGGATCTGAGCATTGTGGGATTTCTTCTCTCCTTCTAGGCCTCAATATTGGTCCTGTGGTAGCTGGGGTGATAGGAGCACGTAAGCCCCAGTACGACATATGGGGAAACACGGTGAATGTAGCCAGCCGAATGGACAGCACAGGGGTGCCTGACAGGATTCAGGTAAGGAAATCACTGGAAAATTTACTTACACTGCCTGTATCGCTTACGGCTTCTGCAATGTAATTAGAACTGGAATTTTATTCCTTGAGGTCATATATTTATTTACACAGCTCTGAAAGAAAAGGGAACTGGGGAATGCTAGTAGTAGCATCAAGTCGTGCCTTTTAATTTTGACCAATGTAGCAACCTTGGGTCAAAACCTTGCTGTTTAGTTCTGTAAGTGTTGAGCTGAGCTCCTTCCCTGAGCGCCTCAGTGGCGCTGGGCACACCATCCTGCTGGGATGCTTACCCACTCACGCTAGTGACTTTGCTGTGAGGCTACATGCACGTGTGGGTTGTTTTCTTTTCCAAGGATTCGTGTCAATGTATTTCTGTATGTCACGTCTCTGTTCACAGTGCCATCTGTGTTGTGAGGCTAGCAAGGAGCCAGACGTCAGTGGAATGAGAATATAACACTGGAGAGAGGGGACGGTTAAATGGGTTAATGGAAACTGTCTTGTAATCAAACATCTTCCTGGCGTTCAGGCAGTCACCTTTCTATTGATTCGGTTTTGTTGTCCTGCTTTTGCTGAGCCAAGGCCCACTTACAGATTGTCATTCCCTAGGAAAATACTGAAGGGATGTAAAAATAATGAGTAACTGAGGTAAAATCCAAGAGGGGAAGCCATGCCGTTTCCATCCAAGTAAGCTGTCAGTTAACTGATCAGTATTTATCCAATGCCCTTTAAACTTTCCCACAAGACAGTCCCTGAACAACTTTCATTTGAGTTAAGCAAATCAGTGCAACAACATGACAGCAGTAGGAAGCCAGAACTGGAAATATTTAAAACCACCTGAAAAAGGATGAGAAATTGCAAAGTCAGCCAGGATTCACCATAGAAGAGATAGGATTTAGCAAGAATTTGCTGCTGTTTTTATGTTGTCCATTTGCTAGTGAAGTACTTAGAGTTTGTGTTTATGAGTGACTCAGACAGGGCAGAATTGGACTTTCCAAAGATTTTTTGTTGTTGTTTTTGTTTGTTGTTGTTATTTGTTTTGTTTTGCTTTTGAATAGCATCTGCTGTAACAGCCAGGTACTAGGAAACTGAGAGAAAAGTAAGAGTGATGGAGCTGTCAATGGGTCTAATAACTTCAAGCACTTTGAGTGCTGTATTTCAAAAGCTTGGTGTGAGGTTAGTTAAGGTGCTTGATAGGATTTTGCAAATTAGGTAGCTGGGAGGAATGATTTACCCAAAAGTTTTGTTTACTTAGGCTCCAGAAAACACTATGCTACACCTTGCTGCCTCGTTAGGCCCTGAACAGCTCATGAAATCTGGCCTTTAACATTCTGTTATTCTGCAGCATAATTATTTTTGAATGGCATCTGCCCAGAGGCTCTGGATGCTGGCTAGTGTTCCGTTAGTTGGCTTTCTCATTGCCCACTACCTTCTCCTCCAAAAAACGGCCCCCTGAATGACTCCTGAATTATATATCCACTATGTAAATTTTTAAAGCCATTTTTGAGGACTTATGAAGTATTTTAACCCATTTTCCTACTACCTCTTTGGTGACATAATGAGTGCAGCTGAGTATCCTGAACTACCAGGTGCATTTTAAAAAATGTGACTCATTTCTTTCTTTTTATACTGTGACCTCCTTGAAAAATATGGTTCTCTTCAAATACCATACTCTGTGCGGCTTCTGTAGTTTCTCAACTTTAAAAGTCTGAGTTTGTTTTGCAACTTGTGCCAATTCTTTAGTCAGTGATTGATATGAAAAAGTCAACTCGAAAACAAAACAATTGATCCTACTTTAATTTTACCTGAGGACTCCAGAAGGAAGTGAAAAGATTACATGAAAAGCATGACAAGCGTACACTTATTCTTGTTTATTTTGCAGGTAACCACAGACATGTACCAGGTTCTAGCAGCCAACAACTACCAGCTGGAATATCGAGGGGTCATTAAGGTCAAAGGCAAAGGAGAAATGACCACCTACTTTCTAAATGAAGGGCCTCCGGTCAGTTAGCGCCAACTGCAGCATCGCTCAGAGATGGAATTTGCATTACAGGAGATTGTGAACGGGAGAAGAATCACTTTTCGGCAGTGAATCTTACAAACGCAACGCAGTTGAAATTTCACACAGCGACTCTAGAGCTGGTATCAGCAAACTCTTTGGCCACCTATCATGAAATGCAATCAACAGAAACCATCTTCAATTTGTTCCTGGCTGAGTGCTAAATCAACCAAAGATGTGTACTACGGCGTTCACAGATAAGAATTTGGAATCTTTAAAAGAGGCTGCTACCACAGGATGATACAAGAAGCTATTTAAGTATTTATTGATACAACACAACATTTACTTGGTTGAAGGAATGTATGATTCACTACAAAGCATTATTTTGGAATGGATTTGCACTGCCATAATGTTTCCATCCCATACTGCCAGCTATTTGAAGTGTACCACTGTGCTTTTATTAGCTGTTTTGAATGGGCTTTCAAAATTGATACCCACCATTGCAACACACAACAAGGCCTTTTAGAATGGCATCATTAATGTTTTAGTGTGAAAAGACGTTTAGCTCTGGCCTTCTCTTTTCCCTTCTTTTACATGGCTAAATGACTGCTCTTCGGAGTGGAGCTGGCACATCTTGCGAAGGGGAAGATCAAGATAAAGAAAGATGGATCTACAAACATATTTATTAAAAAGTCTTCTGTGCTCTTCTTTGGTATATATCAGTTTACATGGGAAAGACTAGATGTAAACAAGAGACGTTGGGGGGGAAGGGAACTCCCCTGAAATTTGTTGTGCTTTTTTTTTTTTTGTATTTTTTATTTTGTAATATTGAAAACATGGAGATCTAACAGAAATACCAAATTCTATATTTTGTAAATTATATATAAATTAGAAGGCAGGCTGTCCACACCACACCGAGGTGTGTTGGGAGGTGTATATAACCTGTTAGACTTTTGTGTAGTTTTTTGTGCATAATACTCTGAACACAGACTTGGCAGTTTTCAGATTATCACTATACAATCGAACAACAACAGGTGAGTTTCCAGGCTGGAGCAGATGCATTTTAAAAAGAAAATCCAGAAAAATCTACAACCCCAAAGAAGAGGAAAAAAAAAAAAGATAGAGTAGTCACACAGTTGTTCAATGCAGCATTCATATAGAGGGTGGCATCTTAACAAATGGAAACAGGACCTATTAATTTAAGCTAATGAGACAGTATCTGTCAAGCAAGTTAAAAAGCTCTAAGCAAATCTTCTAATTAACTGTAACAGGAACTCATATAAGAAAAAAAAGATTATTTGAACTTTTCTTTAAAAAAAAAAGAAGCATTTTTCAGAGCTGGATTAATAGAATCCTGATGATATGAGAGTTGTCTGATATTGTAACTGCCATTTGACATTACAAAGAACTATGTACTGCAGCATCAAGTTGACTTTCCTGTAGCGAGCACTTACTTAAACTGAGTCATATATTTTCAGTTCCGAGGAGTTAGACGATTTTCAAAAAGAGGTTTTGATGGCAAATGTGTATGAGGTGAGCGACCTTAAAATACAGTGCCATTGATATCGTGTTGGACATCGTTATCACTAGTGGGGGTTTATGAATAGTTCACTGTTACCATTTATGTACCTTTTTTAGCTATTAAAGAAGAATCCCTTGGTATTTTATTAAAAAAGAAAAGAATTTAAAAGCTATATTTTTTATATTCTATGAGGGGAGAGTTTTGATATTGAATTTGGCTAGCACTAAAAGTGACTCCAATCTTTTGACGTTTAATAAAGTTCTTTTCCACTCTTCTCAGGGCAGAATTATTGTAGTACTAACAGCTTAATGATTGCACTGTGGTGGTAATTTATTTTTTTCCTACTTGACAACAAGTGAAAATCCATGGGCCTGTCTTAATTAATTTGCCATATTGCTAAGCATAACCCTAGCATTAAGCCATTTAAGCACGAGCTTAAATGGCATCGCCCCTTGCCTTCCCCCTTCCACTAGGAAACATCTCTGAAAAGTATAGTATATTGACTTCTGTAAAACTGCCAAGTCTGCCCTTGTACTATACTTTTGCTCCTTTACATCCCTCCTGGTTTGCAAAATACTTAAGTTGCATCACGCCATTACGCATTTCTTCCCCATTCCACCCCTTTTATTCCCTCACTGAGTTCCATTCCCTCCCTGCCACAAATTCATTTTTAGGTTTGCTTTCTGCTTTATGAAAGTCTGCGGTCTTCTTACCTTTTGATTCATCTTATGAAGTTGTGTTGTCAATGAAATTTCAAGTCCCCGGTATCTCTAGCTGTGATTGTTGACAGTGTGTCATGATCATTTCAAGGGGTATTCACACACTCTTTACTCTGGATCTTGCAAAAATGGATACAGTTATGATTTCCCATGGAAATTGAAATCTATTTAAGTAATTTAACTATATTAAACACTGTTTCACTGGTAAAGCGTCTCTGTCTTATTTTAGATGCAGCTGGCTAGTGAGGAGATAGGCAGACATTGTGTAAGTACACCCGGTTTGCACACAGAAACAGTCAGCTCTTGGCTAGCACTGGATGCCCACTGGGACCACACCGCTCCTACGCAGAGCCCAGTCCCAGCTCCTCGAGCTCTCACCTGCACAGCGAACACCCCCGGCTTCCCTCTCGCACACATCTGCTGTGTACCTGCTTATTTTGAAACATCGGCCTCAGGACAGCTGACAAATCCATGCTAGCTAGCACTAGGGATAGCTGAGGGGGAAAATAAAATAAAATAAAATAAAATAAAATAAAATAAAATAAAATAAAATAAAATAAAATAAAATAAAATAAAATAAAATAAAATAAACAGAAACCGCTAATTTTGCGTGCTCCTGAGGACAGCAGCATTTCTGGTTTGAGCATACGTGGAGGGGGCTAAAAAGAGCATTCAAAATTGGCTTAGGACAAAAATCCCCAAGTCTGCCAGCTAAACCTAAAAGCTTGGACTGAGGTGGGGGAGATGTCGGAGAGCTAGCTTATGGTGCAGTCTGAAAAAGGCTAATTTGGCAGATACTAGATAAAAGCAAAACAAAACAAACCAATTTCCATTCTCTTGACCATTTCTGTTACGAGTTTTTCAACTGAAGGAGACACAGCACCTTACTCAGGGGAGGCAGAGCAACTTTTCTGCAACTTTTCAGAAATTCATGGTTTCCTTCTCGTCCCTGAGCACCTCACCATCCCCTTACATCCCACTTGTCTGGCAGCAGCTGGCCCCAGCTCTTGCTTTAAACGCACTTCCAGACACGAACACCTACTGCCATCTGTTGGTAGCAAACCCGTGCAACCTCAGCCAGGTGGCGGCTTGCAGATAAGCAAAAAAAACACAGCTTACAGATGAGCACAATTAATCGCTGGTTTGGCCAGGTGGCGCAGTGCCATACACCCACAGCCGAGCAGGCAGCAGGCAGGCCCCTGCCAGGAGCTCCAAGGCTGCTCCTCACTCCGAGGGTGCCCTTGAAAGGCCCACCTGAGGCCTCCCGACCGAACCACAAACTCCTTTCCCGCTGCGTGGCACAGCCCTGGAGCCCAAGCTCCCACAGAAACCACTGCTCACACGCGCTTGGTGCTCTCCTGGCCTTGGAGGGACCACTGCTGTTGGATTGGAAATGAAATATGGGCCCTGTGCCTGAGAGACAGGAGAGGACAACAAGAACCAGGCTTCCAGTGGCACGCAGGGGGCTCCGCTTCCACTAAATTCCACAGAAAAATCAATTACCAACAGCCCTGCGTGATTCAAACTAAAATCACGTTGCACAAGACAATGTTCATTGCCCATAAATTCATCTCTACAAGTCTAACTCTCGCATCTGGTCATGCCAGCAGGGAAGAGCTGAACTAGAAGGTTCTCTGAATGCTGGATTTTTACAAGCAAACAGGAAACCCTGGGAATTTTCAGTTTCACCTCTAACCTGGTCTGGCACGTCTTGTTTCTCATCTTATGCAAAATGTCAGCAAGTCCTGATACCACAGTCAAGTTAAAGCCCTGTTTTTAGCACATAGCAATACCAAGTGATGAAGAACAGCCATATTTACCAAGCACACACTAACCTGCCATTGTGAGGCGGGATTTTTATCAGTGCCATAAAAACAAGCACAGAAACAAAGACGCAACTGTCCTCTGTTGCACCAACAGCTGCAGTTGTTCATTTTACCTGCTAGTCAGCGGTTAGCTTAATGCCAGTGTAACCAGAACGGGAGCGTGCCTCCACACGTTGCGGCAGAGCTTTCAGTCCTCAAAAAGGCATCTTTAGAAGCAGGAGGAAGAGAAGGAATCTCAGAATACAAACAAGGTTATCTGCTGACATATAAACCAGAGAAATGAGACAACAGAAACGTTTTCATCTGCACAACAGCAGGAGTTAGAAGCGAAGCAGTCCGTCAGGGGTACAGAAAATAGCCTCCCTGCCTATTGAGCAGGGCGAAGTGAAAGGACAGACAGGACTCTAGTTCTAGACTTTGTGAGCAAGATGAAATCTGTTTTTATACCTAAAAGTGAATATTCATACTTTCCAGCCATTGACTTAAAGTGGTGAAGGACTGCTTCTCACCTTTTCTGGTGACCAGCACTCATGGAGGTGCATTAAAGCGGAAGGCAAGCAAACCTCCCTGTGCTAAGCAAAGGCTGATTTCTGTTCTTTTGGATCTTTAAAGTATTTGTGGTTTAAACATCCCTAAGACGTGTATGCTTGCATCCATACCTCCTCCATGTCTCTTCCCCACTTTCCTGGTTCCCAAAACAAAATCAGACCACATTCACGAATGCATTTTTTTCCACTGGCTCAAAGTGGGAGGAAAGAGGCTTAGCTGCAAAGCCCGTTTTCTGCAACACCAGCTCTGGGGGCAGCACACCTGGGCTATCTTCATGGTCTTGCTCAAACACCAGTCTCAGAAACAAGACATTATGAAAAATGCAATACAACTTCTGTTCACTTTGGATTACAATTTCATTTTCTAATTCTTCTTAGTTTTATCTTATTTTCTTGACTAAAACTACCTTTTGAAAAACTCTAACTCCTTTCTTCTTGGTCACAGTCCAACTAAATAGCTTACTGAAGCACACACCACATTTTGATAAGAGGTATCCCAGGAAACTTGTCTAGAGCAACACTTCAGAGCACAGCAAAACTCTGCCAGTCCCCAAATCCGACATCACAAGCAGCATGACAACCTCCCTATTAAAGCCTTTTTTTTTCCTTCTTTTTCTCAAGATTTCAGTGAATCCTTACATTACTGCAGGTCACACAAACCCACCTATAACGATCTATTTATGTATTATGGAGCATCACAACCAACCATCATCTAACTGCCACAAATAAGGCCGATGTAACCGATGCCAGTAGTATATTGCTGCTATTCTGTGTTGTACATGTTAGGTGTTTGCTGTTTGTTCACAAACTTTAGGAGTGTATGACTGTTCCTTTGAACACAAGTCTCTCTCAGTGAGGTTCTATCCCAGCACAAAACAGCCTAAAGCCAGAAAAAAATAAACAATATTCCCGTTTGTTTTTTTCATTTAAGCTAATCAGACTGATTTATTATTTTCCTGTCAGCACTTTTTTATTTCAGGTTTCAGCTAATCATTCACCCATTGCTAAAAGTATATAAAAAGAACAATAGTCCAACAAGTACAAGTCGCTCCAATTTACTCACCAGTCCATTTCCTTTCAACCTTTCCGCAGCTCAAACAGAGGAAGTGTGCAAAAGTCCTGGGTTAAGTGGCAGAACTTTCTAGACAATTACTGAAAAGAAACCCTGCCCACACAAATCACTTTCAAAGGATAATTGATAGAAAATCATGGTGAAAAAATGTGCAAGTATTTATGCCACTAGATGGAGAGCCACAGGTGCCAAAAAGCTGATCCCCAGAAACAGGAAGTTTCCAGGTAATGTCTTAATTAAGAAAACATTCATGCATATGTCAACGTGAAACAAAACATTCCCAAACGTTGTAGCTTACATATTCCAAATCTTGTTTGCTAATATGCAATAGCATTTTTATTGTTAATTTACCCTATCCTCTACTGCCTCACAAAGGCAAAACTGATTTTGGAATTGAAGAGCTTACATGATATGCAGGACACATACTCTGTACATTCCTTCCATTGACATACTTCTGAGTGAAGCGTTTTCGTGCCACTGGTGAAATTCCCCGATCTCAGTCTCTCTGCAACATACACTTCACTGCATGATATGACCCTTTTTATCCTCCAGTTCTGTATTCTTTTGTGTCCTTGGCTGTTCCTTTAAAAAAAAAAAAGTTTAACCATCAAGTGAAAAATGTCCACAGGCATCTTACATTGCTTTATTAAAAAAAAGAAAAAAAAAAAGAAAAAAAGAAAAAGGAACAAAACCAAAAAGCGCCATCCAGACAGCTTCTTCTTTTGGAGAACAGCTTTACATTCCTGAGAGTATCTGTTGGAACAAGACTGCCTCTAAGTGTTCCAGGACTTGTCAGACATTGTAATCAGGGGACTTTCCCTGTGGTTGTCGCAGTCGAATTTGTAAGGTAGAAAATGCTCCCACAGTCACATGAAAGAAGAGCTGCCACAGGTTGCGCAGTTCATACAGGTACATGTTACACAGGCAAATTAGCCCAAAAGTCAGGAAGGACTTGGCATTCCTCCAGCCCGTGTAATATACAAACAGGTAACACTGTCAGGAAAAAGAAGAAACCATATTATTGCATGGAAAACAGCTTCCACCACCAAAATGTCTCTGGTCATTAAGAAATTAAAACCAAAGCAAAACCCTAAATTAAACATGTCAGAACAACATCAATTTAGCAGTTATGGAAGGGTGAAAGTACCTGACATCAACAACAATTCTCTCACACTAATTGATTAAAAACTGCAATAATGAGTGGCCCATGATAAAGGGAAGTGGATGTTCCTGGCAAACGCTGGTCAAAAACACACTCTTTGTTCCACCCGAGCAACAGACAAGTACCAAGAGCCAGTGTTAAATCCTCTTCAGATGGAGGAGCAAGGAGGACAGGGAAAACAGCACGGCCCTGCAATGGGGAATACTCAGCACAAGGCAATCCCCCAGCTGCAAGCCCAGCATCCTGCCAGAGTTCATCAGAGGATTAACTGGTGGAGGCAGACAAGTCCACACAGATCCAGTGCCCTTCCTCAGGTGGTAAAACACTGATCATGTTTTGAGAGAAATGCACCACTCTACCTAACTCTACTGTGTTTAAAGCGTCAGTTTCTGCACAATGTGGTGTAATACAGAACATCTGGACTGCCCCCAGTTTCCTACCCTTTATTTTCCTACTACTGCAAGAGGAAATCTGCTCAAGTCTCTTGGCTCAGTTTTCTTTTCATCTCTAAAAGGACAGAGCTGTCCTGTGCTTTCTCGTGGATATTACTTTTACTTCTCCTATTATTCAAACCACTTCCTTTTGACCTTCACCAAAAAAAAGTTTGCCCCCTCTGGATTCTAGCAATTTCCATCTGCCAAAGAAAGCTTTTACTGTGCTTCCAGGTAGATAACATCACTTGGGCTTACTTTGTAATCCAAATCTGCTCCCAGAGAGTATATAGCTATTCTCACACAAATTTTTAACAGCATTCATCATCAGACTATGTAAGTGTTCTTCTTAAGCGTTTGCTATCTTTTATTAGTGTTGGAGAAATTCTACTTAACTTATTTTAATATTTTATGTTCCTCAAAAAATGCCAAGCCATTGTACACTTGTAACCCCAATAAATTGTATCGTTTGGCTCTTTATGGAAAACCTGCAGATGTGAAATGTAAGCACAAAATATCAGATAGGAGAAGGAGATAGTGGAAAGTGGCTGAAAGATTTGAAAATGAAAGAGATGCACGATAATGTATGAAGTGGAAGAAAATTACTGTTTGTAGTGCCTAGGTATTACTGTATTTACTTCAAACCCTTCCAAATAAAAGGAGCAGTAAAGCATTTGGTCAGATGGTTAGATCCACTTAAGCTGGGAACTATTACTTAAAGGAAACAATATAATCTCCATTGCTTGAGACTTTTGCAGACTAACTACGCTGTATCACTCAATCAACTAACTGAAAAAAAATGTCAGCAACAGGAAGTGTATCGTATGAGTCTACTGTAAGATATTTTATGATCAATACATTAAAATGGAGCAGAAATTATTTTGATAATCACTCTATTCAAGTATCTGTGACATTTAGGAAAACCTGATGACATTTATGCATGACTGAGTGATGTTTCTAAACGAGTGAATTATGCAAGCACAAGAACGCACCTGGTACAAACAAGCTGCTGTTCCAAGAAAAAATGCAATAACGTAGCTGAAATCTTCACCTTCACTCTGTGAAAATAAAACAAAAAGCCATCACAGATCTTACAACGTTTCAGTGAACATATAGCAAACACATACAGCATGGAAGTTATTCATTATTACATTTTAAAATAGTCTTACAGAGAGATTTATAAGAATCCCTAGAATAGGCTAATCCAAATAAATTAACAATCATCATTGCGTATTTATCTCTAATAAACCACTGTGATCTGGAACCTGATTTGAAATCATGAAAATGTTTATTCACAGCAGATAACTAACACTGAGATTTTCAGAAGCCTCAGAGGAATCCCAGCTGGAGACTTACTTTCTGCAGATGCCTCTGAAAATTAACTGCCTTTAATATCAACTTTGTAGAACTGTGCCTTCCTGCAGCTTCACAAAATGGAAACAAAGCAAAAGGGAAACACACAAACTGGCCACTAGGGTGTGGTAAAATTCTACACAGAAAATAATGCAGGCACCTTTGCCTCAGTGGAAATGAGAGCAAACAAAACATAAATTTATCAGATTATTAGAAAATCCAGTTTTCTTGAAGGAAAATAAGGAAAAAGTTACTTGAAGTGATAGAACTTTCCACTCTGTGTTTAGAAAAAAACAGAACGACAACTACATATTACTTCCAACCTCCTCAAACAGGTTGCTTTTCAATTCCTTTATAGCTAAGCAGAATAAATATACATACTCAGTGATATCCCAACTGCATTTCAAACAAACACATGCAACAATCAAAAACTTTCCCAGGCTAACAATGGGTATGTGTGCTGATGTTCCCCCTTGCCAGCAGATTTCACTTTGGGAAGAAGGCAATCCATTCAGAGCTACAACTTGTTTCTGCTCAGTGTGTTCAGTGTGGAGCATTTCCATTTACAATGCTGACTAGAGAAAAGTCGGTATGTCTGCACCTAAAACTTATCAGCACAATGCAGTACATTCCTAAACCACACACACGTGCAGAGGCAGTGAGGCAGAGGTACTTGCTGCAGTACAGCTACAAATCATAACAGAGTTTTTCTAACACCTAAGTAAAATACTGATTATAAAGGGAACAGTAATTCGGGACAGAAGTTTTTGAATGACTTTTCAGAAGAAGTTTAATTAATCATATTTCAGATTATTTCTATTTTAGAAAAACCCATAAGATATAAAGTAAGCTTTATGGATTTTTGGTGTGCATCATTTGTCAGAAAGAAGAAAAAAAGTCTTCCATCTGTACTGCCATCTATTACCTCCAGATGCAACAGCATAAAGCATAAAATGAATTGACTGCCCTACCATCAGTCAAACACATTAATCTAACACCTGCATACCTTACTGCAGCTGAGTTTTTTTTTTCAAGAACAAAAAACAAGTTATAGAACCATTAAAGAAAGTCGCAGAATTCTGTTCAGTACTATTCCTACAAGAGGGTACTTTAAATTCTATCCTAATTAAAAACTGAGAAAAATGTGCGCAATAGAAAATCATAACTAGGAATAATGTAAAGATACGCTCACTATTTATTTTATTTTATTTTAGAAAAAACAGAAGCCTCTACATGGAACACTTTCATTAACCTTGCTCTACTATTCATTAGTCTTCAGGAGATGCTGAGAACTCAAAGAATATTTTTTATTACATCTTTACACATTTCAATAACTATGTAAACTACGGGAATAAAGGTCATCTTCTTTACCCTTCTTCCATACAAAGTCCATTAACTAGCAAAAGCATTGCAGTCCTCGTGTTTGTTCTAGCAAAAAGACAAGCTGTTGGCCAAGGAGGAAGATTCCCCTTCTTGTTCTGAAAACCTCCACGGAATTTTTAGTTCCTACAGCCATCAGTACAACCCTATAGACCTGTTTAATGTTAGTAAATCTTTTTCACAGTAACATACACAAGGATTCTGTGCATAGAAAGAAACTGAAAGTCCATTGGGAGGGTAAGAGCAGAGTTCACATAAGCAAATAAATGCTTGAAGGTTACTTTTGTTTTTTTTTTTTGTTTTGTTGTGTTTGAAAACAAGAAATCACTAGACAGTTTCTCTCATGTCGATCCTTTCAGAACAGAGTGAAATAAGCACTCTGTCTAAGAAGGTGTATTAAGAACAATTAAGAAAAAAAAAATGTGGCCAGATTCTCAACAGTTCCCATAATTTCTCAGAACTGTTTTAAAACAGTATCTATTCAAATTGTTTCATATGCTGGCATAAATTTTGAGAAAAGAGCAAGATGTTCACATAATCACTGCTGCCAAGTATCTAGGGAGGGAGTCAGACACCCACCTTCCACTGCCTTTGCAACTCACAGCCTTAACGAATGATGCATCACTCTCAAGAAGGATATTTAGATTATATGCAGCAAGTTTCACTAATAAAGGTCTGACCTCACAGACCATATTTGTGAAAATAAAACTGGCAAGACTCAGCTCATATAGCAAGAACTTCTAAGATAACAGTATAACTACAATGATGCAGAACTCCAAAATTCAGAAACATGATACAATACCTGCAGGAGACTTTCTATGGCATGAAAGCCACGAATTAAATTCAAAGCCCCACATAACAGACTAAGTACAAATGAGACGATCCCTGGCAGAGTGACAGGTTCCAGACGCTGATGAGGAGCTGCAAATCAAAAGATCAAAATAAAGATATTAGAAGTCAAAGCAGTATTTTAAGAAATATAGAAAAATATCAAATCTCATTTTTTCCAGTGTCTTCTATTTCAAGAGGTAACTGAAGCAAACCCCAAAACAAAATTTTGCTTCTTAAAGAAAAAACACTTTAAATATATCAACACAAGGTCTAGAAAGGAATTAAAGCATGTTTTTCTTCAATGCATAACTGTCTTATTATATTTAATCTAACTCAATATATCCAATTTATTCAGTAGGGTCCTGAAAGCCGCTTAAACGCACCAGGAAATCAATGGCAAATGATGCACTTGCTGCTGAAATTTGTCCACAATTAGTAGCCAGGTAATAAGTCACATACTTAAGAGCTCCTCTCACAATCTCCATTTTTCTTTAACTCTAATGCATTAGAAGAATTATCAAGACTTATTTAGCTTGCTCGCTGAATGGAACACTATGAGGCAAAGCCTATTACATTCCCCTAACTTAAAAAAAAATAGATACAGCCAACGAGTACTACTCCAAAGAAGACTGCTCTGAAACTACAGCTAATACTGATCTTACATCCTTGTACAGACCTTCCAGATACTGCTTAGAGGTCTCTCACAAAATATGTTAAAATTAAAACATATTTTCTTTGCACAGCAACTCCTTCAGGCTTATCTAGGGTCACAAGCACAGAACAGTTGCTTATGTTGCTCATTACTGTCCCTTTCCATAATTAATAAATATGAAAAAAACAATGAAAAACTCTAAACAGCCTAAGCAACACTGAGAAAACAACAGGACTACTGAACCATACTTAAATCGCTCTGTTCAAATCAACGAAGTGTAAAGATGTGAACAATGAGGTTAATGAACCGTAACATTAATAGAGAGAGGAGTGTCAATCCTGGTTGTATGCACTGAACAGATCCAGGAAAAAGGCTTTCCAGTTTATGAAGTTACAGAAACTAAACAAACAAAAAAAAAAGACAAAAGCTATTTCACACTGATAAGCAGGCAGGGCTGTCCGATTACTGGTGTGCAGTAACTTAAAATAAGTTCAGTTAGCTCATTTGTGCTATATTTAATAATGAACTTAGGGAAATACTACTAGAAACAACCACGCTGTTACGGTTATATATGGTATGTGCATACCATACAGCGAAGGAGAAACTTTCAAGCCTGGCCACCAGAGTGGGTAGTAAATATCCAGAGAGAGTTCTTTTCAAGGATGGAGAGAAGTGATGATAGCGAAGAATTATGCAAGTATTAGCACACTTGCTTAAAAAACAGTCACATTCACGACACTATTATTTAATAGCATCTAAAATTTGAAGAGCTAAAGGAGGAAAGTGCAAACCTCTCATAATGCACAGCCCTTGGATAGTGAGTTTCTACAGCAATTCAAGGAAGGGAATGGATAACTGAACAGAGAGATGCATGGAAAGGAACATACCTTTCAAAACAGCATGCAGTAGATGATTAAAGATACGTACAGTACTGCTTAAAAGATTCTACTCCTATAAACAATTTAAGTATCTTCACACTTATTTTCCTAATTTCCCAGAATTTCTAGTACTCTTAAATAGTAAATATTGAAATTGTAAGTTATTTCTACGCTGTTCAATAGCGCTTAGAATTCTCAGGATCAAGGCCCTGGCAGTACGGATAGGGCACCCTAACAATTCTGTTTCTCATTTTTAGTAGAAAGTAGTTCTGTCTCCTAAAGGAATCCTTAGGAATAAGCAATGTAATTAGGATGATACCACAGTAAAGAGATCCTATTAAAAATATATAAAAGCACAAAATTAAGCTGATTTCTTATATGAAAGACTTTAGCAAATGTTTAGCTTTAAAATAGCAATTTCCACCCTGACACTGTAAAGTGAATGGCAATGGTATGTGCCTGCCCGGGATAAGCAAGGATTTGGGAAGTTTCAAGTTTTCTGGCATACTGGGAAACATCTAAATGTGGGCCTCAAACCGATTCAGAGCATTCACTTGATACCACAAGCCTTAAACCCTGCTCAAGTTTTACCCCAGTTAAAAACCACACAATGCCACATGTACCTCCTACACATGGTAAATTAAAGATTAAAAAAAAAAATTAAAAAATCAAGACCACTTAAATGAATGAATGAATGAACGTGACAAGTTTATATGAAATCGCTATCACTGACCTCATACACAAAGCACTTATTTTAGAGAATAGCTCTTTCAGACACCACAGCTCTTTGGAACTTTACCTTCACAGATGCTTCCTAAAGCAATACCCCTCTCTCCAGCTGCTCTAACTCATAGCACTGATCTTAGCTTTTGTCACTGGATCTCACTGGGCAGAAACAATCAAAATTTTGATAAATATTAAGAGGTTGAAAAAAAAAAGGATTATGTTAAGTGCTCGTCCTGTTTTGCTTATTTTCATGTGGTTAGTTTTCCCTTCAATAGCCTGTCCATTAAATAGGCCCTTTTCTCTCTCTGAGTGCCTTGCAAAGAGGAACATTTAGAGCATAGAACACGACATCTAAACTAAAGGACGTTATCTCATGGCAATTTTATGCTTTAAGAACATCACAGTGAAAAACTTTTTTTTTTTTTTTTTTTTAAGAAATAATGTCAAAAGAAAGATTAATTCTACCACTCTGCTTCTGTGACATTTAAGGATACAAACATGAAAGTCGGAAACTTACCTGCAGATATCTTACCAGTCCCCTTATACTCTGCTGCAGATAGATGTGCAAATCCATTAGCTGAGCCAAGTTCTGACAGGGAAATTTGATAAGGTGGCCTCAGTTTGATTTCTGTCTGCATGTCAGCAAGATTCATCTTTGTTGACAAAGAACGTGTGTTGTTGTATCTCTGTTTGGTCCTCTGAATGAAATTATCTGTGTAAAATTTAAAAGAAAAGTTATAACCCTATGGACTTTGGTTAATTAAGTAATCTTAAACCATGCAGCTTTATGTACTACATACTTCACAAATTTAAATACACTGTTTGAAATGATTACATTTATCTTGGAACATTCTAATGCCATTTCTGTTTTGTGGCTAATATATCGTGTGCTACTTTATTCTGCAGTCAAAAAAATCTAGCTCTAGAAATCTAATTACTTAATAACTGTGAATAAACTAATGACTTTTCACTGCATGAGACTGAATGAACTGCTAATACAATGGATTTACTGCACTTATTTTGGCTTTGCTGAGAGGTTATTAAATATCCTTATGAAAAAATCAACTGCATTCAAGTATAAACGTACGTAGGTATGAAATGTGACTGCAAAATATTCTGACTGAGAAAATATAGTATCATATTATACAAATGTAAAGATTGCAGTAGAACTCTGTTCTATGTTAACAGCTAGTAAAACAAAGGCATAAAAAAGGGTTCAAAGACATATTTATAAGGAAGAAAAAGTCATACAAAAACGGTTAATAAAGAATTGACTGGATTACAGGAACTACCAAACAGTTATTTCTTTTATATTAGTTTTATATATAATTTCCTCTACAACTGCAGTTTGTTTTATTCTAATGCATTTTATAAGAATACTTAAAACAACTGTGTAGTATTAAAGCAACAGATTAATAGAATCCATAACAGCTGTTATCTGGTGTACATGAGATTAGCTGTATTTGGAGCTTGCATAACAGAGGACTAAATGCCTCAGTATATCCTAAGACAAATAAAAATCTCTCCCTTTCATGTACTGAACAAAAACTGCTGAACACCTAAGAGCCAACATGAAATTGCAGTCTAGTAGACTAATGTGCAAAGAAGTTTTTGGTTGTGTGTTTGTTTTTTTTTTTATTGACCGTAAAGAGTTAATTAAGATTCTAAATCCACCTGACGTACAGCAATAAACTGCCTTGTATAGTTTTGTTTTGTGTACATTAAGTTGCACATTTATTTAAATATTCATTTATCTTAGTATGAGAACAGACATAACAAGAAATCAGATCTTTACCAAACTCTATAAAACAGTACGGTCTGACAGCGGTATTTGTCTTCATCATGTTGTAGGTAGTGATGAACTCTTTCTGAAGCTCATCCAGGAAGCAGAAAGCCAGGACACTGGGATAATTTTCAGTGCACAACATCATGTAACTTACTCCCAGAGAACTGATAAAACTGTAATTGAGAAAAAAAAAATCAAATTTAAATCTGGGTAACACATAGCTTCACTAGTCTGATCTCGTATTCTGTAATCAGAAAAGCAAAAATCTGTTGTGGGGTAGCAAAGGAATTAACGCTTACTGAAAAGTCAAATGGTATTCTAGTAGAAAATTAATTTAGTCAAAAAGCAAAAGCTTATCTTCAGAGAGCAGGGAAGGGCAGGTGGTTCTTGTTAAAATACATTAGGAGGACACAAAACTGATCCAAAAAGTAACAAACACCTCATTCTCCAGAGAGAGTAAAGATGGCCAGAGTTGGCAAATACAAAATCAAAATTTAATACACATAACCCTATTGCGTTTAGGCAGTTCATTAGACTTCACTTTTTCATGACACATATTCAAATTTTTTCAAGATTTTGACATATAAAACCTACACTATTAAAAATACTCAAAGGTAAGTCATAAAAACCTCTTGATTAAGCTGTATCTCTCATTCTCCAAAGGTTTTTTTTTTTTAATCCAATCAGTTTACAAGCAGACTACAGGTGAGGTTTAAAAATATTAACTATTGACTTTCTTCAACAACAGTTCTGCATTTTACAGATGATTAAAGAGATGATTCAACACATTAATTTATTACAGGAAATATTTACTTCATGTTCCTTACTTATACAAAGAGAACCTGCATTTGCCCTGTGTTTGTATCTGCAATGTGGAAGTATAACAGCAATTCAGAGCAGTACGGATACGACATACACATTTTGTAATGTCTTTACTCTTGCTTACAGAACAATCATATAACATGATGTTTAAACAAGAAAATGCAGGTAATAGTTAGGAACTTATTAAAAAAAACACAACAACAAGTGATCAGTCTTGGAAACCGCAACTCATCTTAAAACATCAAAATAACAAATGGAAATAACTGTAAGTTACCATTCAACTATCAGGTAAAACACACAGCTACTGACCATGTGTTTTTTTTAACAAGCACTGGAAGACTAGCAGGCAAGAATACAGAAAACATTAATTTCAAGCATGAAAATCAAATTTAAATCCTACTAAAACAAAGGGATGCACAATTTCTTGCAACTGAGCCATCAGCATACTTTGATACTGCTTTTCCAAGAATGCTCTTGCACTGACACAAGGAATCAAAAAAACATTGACTGGCAAGATTTAGTCCGTGCTGGCCCTGATCCTGAGCAATGCAGGACACTCACACATACATATGGGATATGACAGACACTTGCATCTCACATGGGAGATGGAGAAGGCTGAGGAGAAAACTTTCTAGGACCAGGGAGAGGTGGGAGAACAAGATGAATAGTTTGTCTGAGAATAGAAAATCACAGCATGTTTTTAACCAAACTCACATCAACGTATTTATTTAGATTCAGACTCCACACGCTGCCAGTCGGGATAAAAAACTGTTGACACAACCAAGGCATGAAAAGGTATGAAGACAGAAAAAGGAAGAAGCACAACTCGTTGCCTCAGCTGAGCGCACAGTATGAAATAATTATCATGTTATGCTACTTTTTTTAGATCACGTTTTCTCTGAAATCAACAGAAATTCTGAAGTTACAACAAAAGCTCTGCAGGGCCTAATTCCATAACAACATACACGTGAGGTTTCAAAAATACTGGGTTATAAATGTACTTGGGTAATTTTTAAGCTTGTGTAGACTAAAAAGAGAAAACAAATACTAGTTGAACTAGCATGACGAAGAACGTATGTGACGATTTGCATGTGAAAAACAAACTCAAAATTAATAAAAATGCTCCTAGTAGGTCAACAACTTCAGTATTAATAAAAATATTGTCTATTTCAAGCTAGAACTTTCACTGAAGTAGGACTAGGCTTCAAACTCTCTACAAATTCTCCATTTTTAACTTCTGATACACAAGAATTACTGCCAAGAATTACTCTCATTTTGATTAATCACTTCTATCATACAACTGTTAACTTTAAATTACAGACAGATATAAACAAGGATATTACAAATACATAAAAGAGAAGTCTTACTTTATGTTATAGTGCCCAGTTTTCAAAGTACATCTGTCAGGAAGCTGAGAAAGTTTCTTTGAGAGCATTTTAAAATACTTCCTACATTCTTGCACTCCTGTGCTTTGATCGTAATCAGTAGATGCAGACAGTGGGAGTCCATCCCTCACACGGACCACAGAGGCAGATAAAATCATAGACATTGCCAACAGCGTTAATGACAACCTGAAAAAATACAAAATAAACTTAGAAATATAGATGAATCAGAATTAAGGTAGAACTAAAAGGAGTTAACTGCGATTAACCTACCTGTGCAAACTGTATACTGGCTGAACCTTAAAATGGAACACATGGATAATTTTCAAACCTAACTCAGACTAAAACCCTAACAGCATAGGATCCATTAGTCTATGTGAAACACAAAGTAGCAGCAAAGTTAAAAAATATATATTTGAAAATGTGACACTAATCTGAATTCCATAAATCCTGGGTGATACTGTACTTACATTCTCCCTCTTTAGATCTGCAAAATGGGTCTATCAGTATTACACAAGTACTGGGCAGGTTGAAATGGCACTCACAAAGCCCATGTGCTTTTCCATTATTCGTCATTTTCTAAGCATAACAAATAAAGCTTTGTGAAATCTATCCTTTTAAAGAAAAAAAATAAATGTGTATTTAAACATTTCCCACACAAAAGGTGAAAAATTCTAGGAAGCATTTAACAGCATGAACACCTAGCCTGTAGACAGTCTTTCAAGACAGAAGACACATTTAAAACTTCCAAGTTCTTCAAATCTTATGTTAAAACAAAACATCCAAAAGTTTAGTAAGACAAGCTCTATGCAGATTATTTTAAGAGGCTGATTACTCTGACAAGTGGGCGAACTGCTAGAATCTATATGAAGCCAAAAGCAAACACTTCCTTACACAACTTCTAACACTGCTCTACTGACTCCTACCACTTACTACACCTATCACTTCAGAAATTATGAAAAAAATAGTTTTTGCCTCCCTCAGATGATGCTCCTGAAGTTTCATATAGTCATAAAATGAAACACAAAACAGATTTATGAATACAGCTGAAATATGCTTTAGTGCACAATATTGACGTGTTTATAGCACCTTTCAAACCATGACATTAACGGCGCTTTACAAGTCCTAGCAATTCAAGGACTGTATTCTGAAACTTCGGAATCCAACTTTTCCCCAAACGGCACTGCCTCTTTGTAAAAGAAAGGAAATGGCTGTTTTCCCCTTGAGCTCTCCCCTTTCCAATTCCCTACTCCCCAGAGGTCATACATAAAGATATTTATGAAATAATAATCAATGGCGAGTTTTTCAAGTACATTTACAGCTCAGAAAGACACACGTATAATTCCATGTTGTGATTTCTGATTTGAGAAACTTGGCTTCATCAGCAAACTTTAACCTGCTTTGAGACACGGCAAGTCTGCTGAGTAAGTTCCAAACGAATATCGTTCTAGTTCTACTTCCACAGCATATCAGCCTTCCCCCAGATTCGTTAACGCGGCAGAAGTCACTGTTGCCTGTAGTCTCCTGAGTGCCTTTGGGCTTTTATAAGGTACGCTTGTTTTTCACAATGTCCCTAGAGAATTCCCTGTCGTACAAAATGCTTTGATCAGCAGCATAACCAACAAAAAGCAGCCACCCAGAATTCCCAACACCTTCAGGACTTCCTAGAGGTAAGCATTCTGGAAATTTAACCTGTAGTCCTAGAAACTTTAACCTATCTGTGTTTAAGTTCATGCACACGCCTCCAGCAGGACAATTCACGTGGAATACACAGAGCACACATTTTCTTAATTATACCGCTAACCACACAACCATGACAGCAGCTCCAGAGCATGACAAAATTGCAGAGGAGCTCTCCATAGCAGCGGTTCTCAGACAATAACCATTTCTATCACTTGGGGCCCAATTCTGGGAGGGAATTCTGGGAGCTACATCAATATAAACATAAGAACAGTAACGCGAGAACAAAGTTCCTCTCAGTAACTTACTTGGACAAAATGGAATTTCATGAATCTGCATTTCCTCTGATGAAGCAAGTAACTTCATTAGCACCTAACATGAAGAAAGGAACATAACTCCATGTCCTATTTCAGGAGAAGGTAGCAAGTATGACAGCACAGCAGAAGAATCTCAGAATCCTGTTGCAAGCTCTCAGAAGGAAAAATATTGTTCTGGTCACTTCTTAAATGATCTTGATTATAGTTCATGTTGAGTTATCTGATGAGATAAGAACAAACAGAAAAAAAATAATAAAGAAGAATGTATTTACTGGCTAACAACATTCTTAAGCTCTTTTTGTGAGGTCACATTGGAAAAGCCTGAATACACCCCAAAGAGATTATTCGGATGTAGTCAAGCAAGGAAAAAAAAAATATTAATAGAGTAACAAAAATATTAGTGTTTCTACATTCCTTACGAGAAGCTGAGAAATCTGCAATTACTTCAGCCATTTAAACTAGGAACAAACACGTATCCACCTGTACAGTACATTACTAACTTAAATAATGTAAACTTTTGACTGAATTCACCTCATACACTAAGTTTAATTAATTTATAATCCACCCCAATTAGAAACCCAAACGCTTTAGAAAGGTAACACCACACAACCATCCCCATATTTCCACAGCATTCAGATTCTCAGTGCTCAGTCTAACATCAGTTGTTTTACAGTTAGGGACAAGGGAAGTGTCACTACCAAAAGGATGTACACACTGGCAACAATGCGAACGATAAAGACTGCTTCAGACCCCTTTCCCATAAATATTTGCATAAATCTAGAACAAAAATAGTCACTTTCTTCAGAACTAACATTTAGAGAAGACAGGCCACCATGAAAACCTGCCGGTTCTCTTGACTTTGTACTATGAAATCATACAAAGGAAAAATTGTATCTGTCTTAACACCAACAGATAACCAGCTTCTGTTACTGCCATTTAAAAAACGCACCCTGTGTAAAGATGTACTTCTTTCTCAGCTTCCTTAAAGCATAATCAGAAAGGTATCCAAGAAATTAAGTTAATAAAAGAAGTATTATTTTGGTTTCAAGATCACATGTACGTACAGAGCTATGTAGTACATACACTGTAACACATCGTTCAGCCTCGCTTGAAAATACATTCACACAGAAGAAACGCTTACCAAATCTTCAAAAAGAAAAAGCTACTTTACTCAATCCTCAAAACAACAGCACTTCACACAAGGCATCAAGAGATAAACTGACACGTTTTGAAGAAAGAGTTTTAAAGATATGGGACTGGTTTTAGAACTAAATTTTTTTTTTTAATCATCTATTCAAAACTGCAGATATTAACTCACCCTAACATTACAAATTCCACAGCTTTTCCTCAAAAAAAAGCTTATATCCTTTGAACACTTCCCCTCGCACGGGTAGGTTCTGAGCCTCTGACAATGATTGACAGGGAGAGTTTGCTACAGAAGCATCCTTCAGTGCTCATCCTGGTCTCACCTTTCCCCATGTGCATCTGCTTCTGGCCAGTCTACTGATTTCCCCTCACACCAAAGCTTAACAGCCCTTCCTGCAAATGGAAATTGGCAGAACTCAGGAAAAAGAAAGCCACGGAGGAACCTGGCCGCAGGCAGGAAGGAGAGCAGCTGGCTGGCCTGCCTGCTGCTGTTCCACCCTCTCCAGAACCATCCAATATACCACACGTCAGCCTCCCCTGCGCTCACAAACAGGAGCTGCCACGTGTGGCTGCAGCTTCATTTCTTCCCATGAGACAGATGATGAAAAACAGAGCCTGTCTTACCACGACTTTTTTTTTTAGAGAGAGATGCAATTATTATCTAGTTTATTTACGTGTCATGGTGGCACTTAGTCCTGAGACAGCACCTGTAAAGGCCTTAGGAAGGGTTTATATAGCAGTACTGCTCATAAACTGATCTTCCGATTAGTGATCTGATAATAATTGCCTTACAGTTATCTGGGGCCTCATCATAACTACTTAGGAGCAGGCGATCACCTCTCTTTTCTTTAAAACCAGCCTAGTTCCGCAGATACCCCCCAGACACCGCAGGCAGCTCCTGACCCTCAGCAAGCCCCCCCTCCTGCCCTGACAGCCCCCGGCACCCCCACACCCCCGGCGCCTCTCACCAGCCCCCCCCGCACCACACAACCCCGCGTTCCTGCGGGCCCTCACAGCATCCCCGGGCAGCAACCCTCACCCCCTCCCGGCCCCCAACCCGCCTAACGACACCCACCGCGACCGGCCCCCGCCACCCAAACCCAAACCGGGCCTGGCCAGGCCGCGCTAGGCCGCGAGCAGGCCCCGAGCAGGCCGCGTTGCCTAGCAACGGCGGAGGCCCCGCGGCCGCCTCACCGGAGCGCCGTGGCGGCGGCCGCTGCCGCGCTGCACGCTGGGTACCGGCCACGTCCGCCGGCGGCGGCGGGAGCGCCGCTCACGTGACGCCCGCGCGGCCCCGGGGCGTTGCCATGGCGACGCGCCGGGGCCGGGCCTGGGCATGGGCATGGGGCGGCCCCGCCTGGCGGGGGCTGGCCCTGAGCAGGGCGGGGCGGTGCAGCCCGAGGCGGTTTGGGGTTGGGGTGTGCTGCTCCTCGGGTGGCACCGGGCGATAAATCCTTGGTTTGCACTCTGTTTAATAAAGGCTTTTTGGACGTGGCACTGCTTGGCACCGTGTGGTTTGTGAGCGGAGTATCTGACGTGCCTGCGGGTCGCGGAGAAGTGACACAAGTGTGTCCCTTTTGCACATTCCCAGTCATATAACAGTCAAATAACACTGACATGGAAATAACACAAACATGGAAAATCCCATTATCAAGCCCAAAGTGAGACTCTCTGTTTTACAGTTTTCCTCACCAGCACACGAACATTTTTCCCCATTACTCTTCATCATTACTGTTGCCCTGCAGCTTCAGTCCGCCAGCTCAGCTCTGCGGGGAAGCAGCCTGTTTCCTTGCTAACACCCTTTAATTTCCCCGTCCGTTGCTGGCTGAGCTGCACAAGGGGCTGCAGCACTGCACAGCACCAGGTACAGGCACCGAGCCGCACACTCTGGGCCTTCTGGTTCTGCTCAGCCTCACTCCGGAGCAAGGTGGCCAGCAGGGCAGCACCAAAACACACAAACACTCTCCAAATTCAAATCTGCCTTCTCTGGGTAGCATCACTTGTGAGTGGACACCCGCAGCAACCCCAGGTGCCAGTGCTGTGGTAAAACCATCTCTCCCCCCAGCCTCGAGGCAGGAGGTGTGAGCCCGGCGCCCAGTGCTGTGGTAAAAGGGCTCCATGAGCAGCCTGCCGCACGCTGCTTGTGCTGCAGCCTATTTGAAGTTAGTATCTTGGCCTGCCAGGAAGAAACTGTGTCCCTGACGGGCTTTTGTAGAGCTGAGCACAGGAACATCTCAATCCTGACTGAGGAGGCACAACTGCAGTGTATGTTAGGAAGATAATACACTAATCTAAATAATTTCTAGAGAGTCCTTATCCTGTACAAACAGAGTGCAGAGCATTACAAGCTGCTACACAATTTAACAGGGTACGATAGCATCTACCAAATGCTGAGAAGTAGTGATTGCTTAATTAGAGGCTGCCTAAAGGTCTGTGATAAGTGCATACGTGTGTCATTTTAATATTTCCAGTTCTTGTGAACTATCTTTCAACCCTAAAATTCTCCTGACCATTTGTAAATGCTTTGAAGGCAAAATGACAAGCATTTTACATTTATACAAAAAGAACTTGAAAAATTATATACACATCTATTAATTAATACTTACACATTCCTAGAGAAAAAAGAAAAAGGTAATGTTCTTTATTTTCACGTGAACCTGGCCCCAGGAGGTTCAACAAATTGCACAAGGTCACTGAGAGAGGCGATGGCAGAGTCAGAAGTGAAGTTGCAGCTCGAGTGCTTCCAGCTCTCACAGTGAACTTAAATCATACCTGTTATTTAACAATTTGCATGGCTAACAAGCCAGATACATTTTAAATATCTTTTTTTTTTTTCCTTGTCCCACTGGCTCCCCTAAGACAATGAAGCAGTAAAACATTGTTAGAGGGTACCACACAGGGAATAAATTAGGGAAAGCTGAAGCAAGAGATAAAAGTAAGATCTGTAAGAAGTAAATCCAGTCAGTACAAAGGCAACTCAAGTGAAGGAATGTAGGCATTCGGAAAGAAGGAGAGAGAAAGAGATTAAGAGGAGCACAAAAGTGGGTATGGACAGCTCCAGAGGTTGAAGAGAAGTGGTGCCAGGTATGTCCCTGTGGTGTCAAAACCCTCAGAAATGGCAGTGAGGAGCCTTTCATGGGTGCAGCAAAATAACAAAGCCATGTGGCTGCTTAATGTGCCATCAGCCAGCTGGAGATAAAAACAGCAGCTGAGACAAGTTAGGACGGGATTTTTCTCACCAAAATTGCCCATTGTGAAGCTGTTGCTTTTGCCCCTCAGTCACTGCAGGGGGAGCCAAGAGGAGCAGCCTCATTTATATGCTGGGGTTTTGGATGACTAGAGGTAGGGAGGATAAACTCGTGGCCTCTCTATGCAGTGTTTAAGCATGGTTTTTTAAAAAGAAAAAATAACCAACCTGAGGAGATGGCAATAGTTGTGCTCCAGTGATGGAGTCTCAGGAGAGGCACAGAGGCCAAAGGACCCTTAAAGGTCACTCAGAAAATTCTACCTCAGCTTTCTTTGTAGCAAATTAAACTATTAAAAACCCAGTGGGTGTGGAATATACCAGATCTCTGATCCATTTTGTAACCCATTTTTATGGGGAAAAGTGCTACCATATTCCTTAGCCTTCCCTGATTTACACTAATCAAACCCAAAGCCTTTAATCTTTTCCTAAAACTTATGTTTACCAAACATCTTTATAATTCTGTTGCTTCTTTCTCTGGGCCTTGTCAATTTTTTCTATATCTTTCTTAAAGTTTGGTGCTTGGTGCTGGGGATTTAGCTGGAAACCATGCTAATAATGCAATAGTGTGCTTTCCATTCCTTCTACAGAAATGCCGATTCTCATAAAAACACAGATATATCAAATCAGTATCTATTAGTTTATGTTCAATGCAGCCCAACTTCATCATGAATGCTTAAAACTCTGAATCAAGCTCCTGACATCATGACATGGGCTAAGAACGTGTGATATTCTAACAGCTCTGCACTCTAAAAAAACTACATCTGATTTGAAAGGTTTTAGACAAGCTAATCACATGAGCTAAGATTATATTAATTCAAATGACTAATAAGAAATTAGAAAAATTAATACCAAAGCCATTGCTTTCCATGTTTATGAGCTGCTCTTGCTAACAGAAGTGCGAGCAAGGTCATGAAAACTATCAGCAGAATATCCAGTTTATTTCCTTGCTTCTGTTTTAAATGCTTCTCCACTGATTCAGACTTAAGGGCCTGTACTAGGCACAAGAGTTTCTTTCATGCAACGATAGTGGTTAATTCTCAAGGGCTTTACAAGTCTGAGGCCACCTCGTAACGTCACATAAAGTATCTCAAAGGTAATAAATGCAGATGATAGAACAAAATAGCGTTATCCCAATGGCCCTTGTTGCAGTAGGCCCCAGCATGATCTCCTGCATAAAGAACATCATATTTCTGAAAAGTAATCTTCATGCTGCATCTCAATTAGTTTGAAAAGCGGCGTGTTGTTAATGCATTTTTATTTACAAGGCCATCAGCATTTTGGGCTTATGGAAATAACACAAGCGAGCTTCTCTGATGATCACATCCCAAGCCATTCCTACAGTAATGATCTCTCTTTGGGGCTTTTCTACTTTATTCCCTGTCTGGTAGAAGAAGCTGATCTGGAAAGCCATGTGAATATACTCCTAGCACACATAATCCCTTTAGTTCCCTACATGACTGTAACCGAACACGTTGCAGACTTTTTTTGTATTTAAATATTTTCACATGACGGAAAGTCCTTCCAAGCTGATCACTTAATGAGGCCAAATATTTCATTAGGAGCCATTTAAACAATTATAATAAATAAGAATATTATTATTTGCTAGTAAAATTGTGCCATGAACACTCTTGTTTATATTCAAGGAACTCTTAGTCCCTGAAGAAATTTATCTTTATGATAATAGCTACAACAAACTTACTCGTGTAGGAAATAAACACATATGGCTTTGTAATCCACAGTTAGAATGTTCTATTTGAAATTTAATTCAGAAGGATATAAAGGTTTCTTAGGACTGAAAGGATTATTAGGGGCTGCAATATCTAATGCGATTATAAGACAGAGGTGGTAGCTCACTGTAACAAACTCGGTAAGACACAGGAATATACTAAGGCACAGGCCCACAAGGACCTTCTGGGTTATCAAATCCAGTCCCTGGCTACTACAGGCAACTGGATCAGATAATCCATTTCATACATTTTGTGAGCTTCATGCTAAAACTAGGTATGTTTTTGCGCCATGATTTGGTATTGGGCTGACATGGCAAGGGTTTGGTAGCAGGGGGCTACAGGGAGGGCCTGTGTGAGCAGAGCCCAGCAACCGCCACACGTTAGGTATGGGCCAGCTCCAGCTGCTCCAAATGGACATGCTGCTGGCCAAATCTGAGCTATGAGCGACACTGCTTGGGCCTCTGGGAGAGCAGATTTAAGAAAGGGAGGAAAAAATGCTGTGCAACACCAGCTGGGAGAGAGAGGAGTGTGAGAGAAGCAGCCCTGCAGGCCCCAAGGTCAGTGCAGCAGGAGGTGCTCCAGGCACCTGAGCAGAAGTTTCCCTGCAGCCTGTGGAGAGGCCCCTGGTGAACAGGTGGATGTGGCCTGAAGGAGACCTGCAGCCCACGGAGAGGAGCCAGCACCACTCAGGGGGAGGAGGTGGAAGAGGGTGGATGGGTGGAAGGTGTTTGTAGTTTGCTTTTAGTTTCTCACTGCTCTAGTTTGTTAGAAATAATAAATTATATTAAAACTCCCTATGTTGAGTCTGTTTGGCCCACAATGGTAATTTGTGAATGATCTCCCTGTCCTTATCTCAACCCTTGAGCCCTTTCCATTGTATTTTCTGCCCCTCTTCCTTTGAGATGTGGGAGTGAGAGAGTGGTTGTGGTGGAGTTAAGCTGCCCAGCTGGGCGAAAACACCAGAATTTTTTACATGGTCAGGTGAATAAACAACACCAAATGCACAGCACAAATTACTTGTGGTAATTTGCATCCACTTGTTCTTACACTAAGGTTGCCCCCTATTTTTAGTATTTTCCTTACCAGAGGCATTTAAGAGCGATCAAACCTTGTATCAACCATCAGCTGCCAGGCTAAACGAGTATAGTAAACAATATAGTAATCCAACTTTCTTTAATGAGTGATCATGGTTGCATATTATCCCAAAATCTTTCTGTGGTCCTATACAAGG